CATTTATTAGCATCAATTATTTTTAATGTAACAAAGAATGCAGACTACAATGCACGACATTGTTAATAAAAATGAAGTTATGTCAGTCAGTATATATTTATCTAAAGTAGTGAAAAAGAATAAACCATTTAAAAACAAAATTAAAAATTTTTAATGAATATATATTTAGATACCTTAAAATGAAGCATAACACAACACTCTTTTGACAAATTCCAGAGCAAATTTTTAAAAATTTTCTATTCCTTATTATTTTATTCCTTATATCGATAAAATACATATTAAATGCCACATTCAACTAATGTAATTAATACCTTATTTAGATCTCTCTTGATTAACTAAAGAATTTAAATTTTAAATAAACTCTAACTAAATTTTAACAAACAAACAACCAAAATAAATCTTCATATTAATAGTAGGTTATTAAGTTGAGTAATAGATCAAACAATTTAATCTACTCTAATAATCTACTACCTTATTAATAAACTTTAATTTTTTTTCTAAGACTCAGTGTAACTATAATATAGATATTTTTAAAGTAAAAAAGAATTTAATATTATAATATATATGATTTAAAAAACCTGAAATTTTAAATCTACCTCGAAGAAAACAGATATATAATAAAAAGTATTTTTATTTCTTTTTAAAAATTTTAAAATGCTTTATAACTTACTTGTTTCATATTATTACCAACGTCTAAATAGAAAAACAAAGATATATGAGTTATATATAGGATTTTAAAATATATGATTTTAAAAAACTGAAACTTTAAATCTACCTCAAAGAAAATAGAGATATATTGAAAAGTATTTTTATTTCTTTTTAAAAATTTAAAAATGCTTTTTAACTTACTTGCTTCAATATTGTCATCATCTAAATAGAAAAACAAACAAACATTTAAGTCGACTTATTCTTAAATCTAGTTTAATTTCTTCAATAATAAAAAAAATTTAATCTTTGAGGATTAAATTCATTTACAAAAATCCGTTTAAACCATTTTAACATTGTTAAGTTAATTTAAAGTTTTAAAAAACTGAAACTTTAATTCTACCTCAAAGAAAACAGATATATATTGAAAAGTATTTTTATTTCTTTTTAAAAATTTAAAAAGACTTCTAAACTTACTCCCTTCAATATAATTATATAATATATATAGTATATATGATAAATAAACCTCCACAATTTCCTTGGTTTAACAACTCGATTATGATTTATAACAACTCTGTAAACATAAATTTTCTAATAACCTAAATAAATTACAGATAGACAAACATAAACTAACACAATTAAATCCTAAACCAAAATTCATTCATGCAAGACAAATAATTTTATATTTATTGAAGAGCCAGAAACATATTTTTTTTCAAAGAGCTAAAGTATTAACAATATTAAAGACAAATTTTATTTATAACAAAATTTTCAATAAAAATTAAATTAAGATAAATTTATAACAAAATGTTGTCATGGCTTTTATCCCAATAACCAAAACTAAGTGAAAGCATGAAACTACCCATAAATATATTTTAACGCTAGACACAAATTAAGAATTAAAGTAATCTATAACACGAAGCTTTAAATTTAAAATTACAATTTAAAAAAGATTACAATAAATTAATTACTTTTAAATTAAAAAAAAAATTTAGATTACCTATAATTTTAAGCTACTAAACATTATCTACTTAATGTCAACTTAGATATTTTGAACTCGTACCATGAAAGGTTGAAGGGAAATCTGTAAGTAAGCACGCGGTAAAGAAAAGTTTAGAAACTACTTAAAAAGTGTATTTTACAGATACAGAACCGTACCGTAACTATAAAACAATACGCGTAACTATGCGCACTATTAATATTCATAGGCTATTCATTATAGGCGATGATGAAAATTTTTGTTAAATAATAATGGGTTGAATTTAATCGGGACAATAAAATAATTAATGTGGCTATTTTTTTAATTCTGCATTATTTAAAGTGGGTACTGACATCATAAGTATAGTTTCAATATTTTTTTGGATATACGTAAAATATATAGGTAAAATAAACAATGTGGATATTAATTATTTCAAGTTACCATAATAGTTGTTTTTAATTGCTATTATTATTATTTTTATTGACCGGATAAAGTATGTCTAATTGCCAAAAAAACAATATATCTACGCTTTGGAAAATATCCCAACAATACATAATTAAATTGTCATCAAAAAATAAATTAATGTTATAATTTTTTATCAAGTAAATAAAAGCATTTGACTCTTCAATACAACAAGAGTTCACAATAAAAGCTTAAATATCATTTTCATTATTTATAAACAGCAATGCCGAATCAATCAAACAATCAACAATGAAAACCGTTCAAGGATAATTGAATCTTACTTAAATGGAAACTCACCATAAGAAATTGCAAATATTCTTGGATTTAAACGAACTACAATCTATTCGATTATTAAAAAATATAAAAATGGTTTGCCGATAGAACGGCAATTAAAAGGTGGTTCTAGAAACAAAAAATTAACAGAAGAATCCAAGGTACTAATCAAAAATTGAATTGATGATAATTGTGGAATAACTCTTAAGGAAATTAAACAAAAATTTTTTTGAACAAAAATCCATTTCAGTCAGTCAATCTACTATAGCAAGAGGCATTGATAGTTTTAATTATACTTTGAAACGTGTTCACAATATTCCAGAGAGAAGAAATTCGGAAGACGTTATTAATGAAAGAGCTTCTTATGCAGAAAGATTCATGAACATTTTGTCTTCTATGAATGACAATAAAATATTCTTTATTGATGAAGTAGGATTTAGTCTTTCAATGCAAGTTAGAAGAGGACGTTCTTTAGCTGGAAAGAGGGTCACACAAACAGTGACTAAGAAATATTTTCGTCTGTTGTGCAATGAACAAAAACAAGTTTTGAAATATGAAGCACAAACAAGAGCATTTAATACAGAAAGCTTTTTAGATTTTATTCGTTTAGTATTAGCACAATTAGCTGTTAATGAAGTTGTTGGAGCTATCTTAATTTTAGACAATGTTCGTTTTCATAAAACTCCTGTTGTTCATAATGAAATAGTACGTGCTGGGCATTCTTTGATATTTTTACCTCCATATTCACCCTTTTTAAACCCTATTGAAAATATGTTTTCTGAATGGAAACAGTTTATCAGAAGATGTTCGTCTAGGACTGAGGAAGAATTGCTTGAAAATATACAAAACAGTGCATTGAATATTACTAGCACAAACTGTAATAATTATTTTGCGCATGTACTGAGGTATATGATTCCGTGTTCAAGAAGAGAACCAGTTATTGAAGAATAAACTTACTTTTGTATTTTTTATTTTTATTAGCGAGTATTTGCAATTACAATACTTTATATACGATAATTTATTTGTTTAGATTTTAGTTTGTATCCAAACTAAAAAATTATATTATCTAAATGAATTTAGAAAGAATCTAACTGCTTTATTTGTATATTAATTTAAGTATTATTACGCTGTCAAAATTGAATGCAAAACAGTCGAAATCAAATGCAACGGTGTCGAAATTGAATGAAACATTGTCGAAATGTACTGATACAATGTCGAAATTGAATGAAACGTTGTCGAAATGAAGTGAGAAACCCTGTAATAATACAGGCAAATGTCTCTAAATTAAATTCAAAACTTTAATTTACATAAGTTTATCACTTAACATCGAATAGAATTATTAGAAGACGAAAATTAGTATTGAAATTAAAACAAGAGCTATTTTAAATATATCTACATTCTGACATGTCTGTTAAACAAAACCTAAGTACTTGTTGTATGGAAAAATTTGACAGAAGTTTTTATCATTTAAGTACTTATTCACGAAAAAAGGTTTTTATTGATTTTTGCTCAAAACTTTTAATCAAAGTACAGAGTTTGATTGTCAGGCGATCTTATAATTTAATCAAAAAATTAATTTAATTTGTTTCTATCACAAATCACTGCTGTTGGTTAAACACGCACATGTTCAAAAAAAGTTGACGTTGACTTTTTTCAATAAATTTTGTTACTTAAAAATTAAGCAGCATTTGTTGTCTTGTGTTACACACTCACTCAACCTTCAGTATTTTAATGACACTAATTGTATTTCTATTTTTTTAAAACAGTGTTGTGCTTAAAAGATACCACAAACATACAGAACTAAATAAGCAAACACAAGATGTTTACTTGTAACACTATTACTTTTTTCAAAGTTTGTATTTGTTAGTCTACTGTGAAAACAAATAAAGATTTATGTAAGTACATTAAGTAAGTCTACATTATATTATTTAAATGTTTATACCAGGGGTCGGCAACTTGCTGCTCAGAAGCCAAATTTGTTGTTAAAATTTCGATGTTAAAATGCAGCTCTCCAGTTCCATGCAAAATTACTGTTATAATATTGAAAGTGAGATGTTAGTAGCTCTTTGAAAACTGAAAAGTTTTTATAAATTGCAAACTTTGGCTCTTTCGTCTTAAAAGATTACCTACCCTTTATGCAAATTATCAAATGCATTATTTTGTTATACTTAGAAATAGTTTGCTTTCAATGTGACATCGGATTACGTCTAAAGGTAAAGTAAGGAGGATTGGCACATTATGGATTGTAGCTCTGCACTTTTGTAAATATGAAAAATTAAACATTATCTAGGATTAGGGCTATCAACAGGTACACAGGTAACCACTTGTTGCTTACTACCTGAGAGAGGTAAAAATCGCCATAAAATTGATAACGTAATTAATAGACAGCCCTTTAGAAATGAAATGGTTATAGAATCAAATTACAAAAAAATCTGTTTTGTGTATTTATCTGAAATAACTCAAGCAAACTTTAAAATTATATTTTTCAATATCAAAATATTTTGATTTTTGGTAGAACAAGCTTTGTTTTTAATGCAGTATGATAAATCCCAATCCCAACATGGGCATTTTTAAAAAAGCTGATTTTATATCTATATCATTATATTAGTACATAGAATCTTCAGAAAAAATAACAATACTGAAAAACATTTTTTCTGGAGATATGACCTTACAAAAAAACTAAAAGTTTATGGTGTTGAATTTGTAACACTGTTTGTTGAACTATAGACTAAAATCTAGGCATGAAAGGAAAGTTGTAATAAATAATTTTCAATCTTTGGTTCACTAAGAATCCACGTTTTTAAGATATATTACCCTTTCGTTGCAAAAATAAAAGATCCCAAAAATATAATTTTTTAGCTACTGACTGATATTAAAATTTGGGCAAGCCTTACAAAAAGTACAACAAAATCTGAACTAACAACCATTTTGACCCGAAACTTTGGCAATGTTCATGAAACATGTTTAATTGCATACTGACAAAGTTTTATCAAAATCTGAGATATTCCAGTGAGGACCTCTAGACCACTTGTCAGGAATGACCCAATATTGGTTCAAAGAGAATTAAAGGAGAAGAATGATTTCGGTAGTGGATATTTCTATAACTAGTGGGTCTGGAACATCCAACAATGGTAATACAGCAAGATGTTTTTACAGGTATGTTTTTTTTTTGTTTTTTTTTAATTAACCTTCCTTTTCAATTTTTATAATTTAAGTTAATAGATAAATGAGCTATAAAATATTTATAAATAAAAATGTTTTCAGGATTATTCTGTTATATCTGAAGTATTGTATATCCGCGAGGAACTAACCATATGTTTATACTTCATAATATATACTATCTCCTGTATGTAAGAGGTAAATTTTGAGGCTCTAGATATCTATTGTAAAAAGACAGCCCAATGTCTTGCTTATCTATGCCCCTGCTATTATATGCCACAGGGTTTACACAAACTGCTAGTACACTCTCACCAGGTAGTTTGCAACAAAAGTTAACCTATTGGTATGATTTCTAAAGAAGCACAGAAAAGCAGAAACATAGATGTAAAAAACTTCAGAGAACCTTCTACACTTAAATATTCTAGAATAAAACAAAACCTGGATTTTAATGAGAAGACTTCTGCGAAGTAGAAAGAAAGTGGAATTGCTTCTTTCCAAAGAAGTTTAACTTCTATTTGGAAAAAACTTGTAACTTGTATGAACTACATTTCTTTGATTTTACAGCTCAAAAAATTTTTGTTTTTATATTTGAGATGATAATTAAATGTTGTTTTACCCTTATAAGTAATATAGCCCCAATGGCGCAAAATGAATTTTTTAGTGTTACAAATTCAACACTTTATGATGTTGCGCTAACTCCAAACTTAAATATGTTTATGCTCATGTCACATTATTTTAATGTCAAATGTTAAATTATGCTTATTTAAAATACTTTACAAAAAATTGCAGTGGTTAGAGCCTGGGAACAAAAGTACTCCAAAATGTTATTTCTGGTACCTATAAATGATGGCAATGTGTTTTTGAATAAATTTATTTACTATTTTTGAATAAATTTGTTAACTAGGAATGGATTCCCTGACCCTAAAAGCATATGGTTAGATGTATATAGTTATATTTCGATGTTTTCTATTTTTAGTAATTTTTTTTATATTCTGGGCCTCTGTGCACGGATTGGGAACAATAAGCATCCAGTAAGCCCCAGTCACTTTGAAATTGAAGCATGTAAACCAGTAAGGATTCAGTCACATAACTTAAAGTTGCTAAGGTACCAGTACTGGCTATCCTTTCTGGATATTGAATTCCTCCTAGTGTCCTTCGAGATATACCTTACAGTTCTGCAGCTTGCTTGCAACACAGTTCGTCCACTTTAACTTTTGCAATTGTTTTTTCCATTTGCTCTTTGCTATTATTGACGAATTTTATCTTGTAGTTTTGAGGCATTGTTGTTGATAATTGATCAGTTTAATTAATTTAATTTTTTGAAGATTGCTTTTGTTAATTAATTTTCATGTCAAGTCTTCAAAAAAAAAAAAAAAAAAAAAAGTATTTTTTGACATAGACAAGAAATTTGTTTTTCTTCTAATAGAAATTTAAATCATAAAAAACAAAAAAAATCTTATTTCTGAGTAAAATGTACTTTTATAATTAACTCAGAACATCAATTGGTGGCAAAATTTCTAACCTTTAGACTTTAGGTTGAGTGGGGTCATTTCGCCGCTTTAGTCTAAACTTTAGTTTAAAGTGGCAAAATTACCCCATTTTACTCTATAGTTATATTTATTTTTATAAACTATTTTTAAGCAGTGTTAAAAAAAAAAACTTTTTAAATTGCCTGTCTTTACCATAACAAAGGAATGAAAATTTAAATATATTAAGTAGATTGTTATAAATTATTAGAAAGGCTTCAATTATTCGGTTCAATTCAAAATTCAATAATTTAAACGTGAAAAATTTATAAAAATCAGATAATTCTATAAAAGATAATACACTTTGTGTATAACTTCTTAAAAAGTTATACACTTTGTGTAAGTGACAAGATTCTGATATATGGGTTCCTTGATTAAAATGTTAAGGTTTAGCAACATGCAATAGGGGCATGTGTCCATGTGTGTGCCACTAGAGTGTGCACCACTACTGCGCACAATAAGGTTTTAAAAAATAAAAAATGCCATTATTTTGAATGTTTTATTTTAATATAAAAAGCATTTTACCACATTAAAATAGAATAAATACAAGATGCATCAGAGTATAATTTTTTGCTGAGGGTGGGGTGGATGATTGCCTTAAACTTAAACAACAACAACAACAACAACAAAAAAAACAATGTGAGATAATATTTACATTCATTTGTGTGTTGGCTTTTAATTGATGATAAAGATATTAAATTCCAGGAATAAAACTATATAATAATCATTGTTAAAAATAAACACTATATGAATGTAAGCTAAAAATTGTCTAACAAAATGTTATCTTGAAAAAGCAATTGTGTCAAGATGGCAAATGGCAGTTCAACATGTTCAGATTTTTACCCCAAGTCTAACCAATTTTTCTGATTGTAAGATGGTTAACCAAAACTCTATCTGAGTAGTTTGAATGTGTCCTTTGATCATCTCAAATATATTGTGTTCAATATATTTGAGATGATCAAATGACAACATTCATAGAAGCGTTGCAAGTGAAAGTTTGAATAAACTAAAGCAGTGTAAACCTCTTCATTACATATATGGTTTGCATAATCAACAGTTGTACCACCTGTTAATTGGTCAATAGTAATAACCTGGCATTTATTTTTTGATGTTAAGTGAATGTTGTCGATAAGAATGTCTTCTTGAATTGTTGTATCAGACCCAAGAGTGAGATGATTATTACTGATGAGCCATTCTACTACTTGCAGATCATCAATACAGCCAACCTCGTGAGCCATTCGCTCAACAGTACTAAAATGAGGAGTCTTGGTCATATTATTTTCTAAGCTAGTGATAATATTTTTATTTGTTCTAATAACAGCATTATAATTGAGAGTTATGTTTCTATACTTTTATCTTGTAATTTTTATTTTCTTTTTTTATAGCAATAAGATTGCGACTATTAGACAACTTTTTTTACTAATTTATGATAATTTATTTAATTTATAATAATTTAATTTGTTTGATTTAATAATATGTGTTTAATTTGTTTCTAATCTAACCTAAGTCTCTAACCTCAACTCTTAAAGTTTTTATAATCTCTTCTTTTCTTCAAACACTTTCCATTAAAACTTTTAATAAGCGTTTAATTTTAATTTTACTTCTGTTATCTTTCTTCAGTGTTTACTAGAATAGTGAGCTTACTGTGAAGATAAATGAGACAATCTACTTTTTTAGTTTTTCTTTTTTTCTCTAGGTATCAAATCTTGATATATTTTTTATTTGATACATTTTCACTAAAAGCTGAGGTTGATGGTTCACTTTCTACTGGAAGGGCAACACTGCCTTCATAAAAAGTTTATGAAGACAACTTTCACTTTCTTTAATTGTAAATTAAAGAAAGTGAAAGTTGTCTGTAATGACTATATTGTAAATGTTGAACTGAGGATTATACATTTGCAATATTAAGGGTTGCAAAGGGATCAATTGAAAACTCAGAAAAAATTTTGGAATAACCAATCATGAAAAATTCTTTGCCCAAATTTTTGATTTATTTATTAAATTTTCAATTGTAATTTTTGATGTTTTGATTCTTTCATCAAAAAAACTAAAAAAGTCAAAAAAAAACCCAAAAAACAATATTAAAAATAACATTTACTTACCCTACTATAAGTAAATAAAAAAGTCACTGTAACCAAAAAACAATGTTAAAAATAACATTTACTTACCCTACTATAAGTAAATAAAAAAGTCACTGTAACCAAAAAACAATATTAAAAATAACATTTACTTACCCTACTATAAGTAAATAAAAAAGTCACTGTAACCAAAAAACAATATTAAAAATAACATTTACTTACCCTACTATAAGTAAATAAAAAAGTCACTGTAACCAAAAAACAATATTAAAAATAACATTTACTTACCCTACTATAAGTAAATAAAAAAGTCACTGTAACCAAAAAACAATATTAAAAATAACATTTACTTACCCTACTATAAGTAAATGTAGAATTGGAATACTAAAAAATCAAAACATACCTTTCTCATTAAAAATGAATGCAAGTCCAAAAAAAGATTTCATTAAAATATTTAGTTTACTTTAATGTATGTATGTATGTATGTATGTATGTATGTATGTATGTATGTATGTATGTATGTATGTATGTATGTATGTATGTATGTATGTATGTATGTATGTATGTATGTATTTATGTATTTATGTATGTGTATTTATTTATATATAAATGTATGCATGCATATGTATTGTAAATATATATATTTATTTAGTTTATTTTGTTTTTTTTTTTTTATATACTCGAGGTCTTCAACATTTACAGACTTGAATCGAGCAGTAGCAGTCCCTTATACTCAAGGAAATTGGGAAGGAAAGTTGGGAAGCGATCTTATACGATTTATTGACGCACCAAATGCAACTGTTCGAGTTAATATTGCAGCTATTCATAGTTCAGAAAATTTTTTTATAAATGGATCTAATTGGGAAGGAATTCTTGGTCTTGGATATGCACGTCTGTCTAAAGTGTGGTTTTTTTTCTTTGTAATTAGTAAAGTTTTTTTTTAACTTGGTAAACTGTTTTTTTTTAATACATTGTTAAAAATAAATATTGGTCACTAGAGAATTGGTCTGTTTTGATTTAAAATTGTTTTTTCTAAGTGGAATAGTACTTTAATATTAAACAATAATTTTAGTTTATTTTTATATGAGGTTATTGTGGAATCATCAGTCAAAAATTTATGATTTTGATTGATAAGAGTTCAAGTTTAAAAATAGAAATATTGACAGATTTTTGACAATAGAAATATTGACAGGCGTTTTCATGAAATTTTTTGAAGAATTAACTGATTTTAATGGCTCATTCTCCTAGTAGACTCTTCATTAGAAATCATAGAGAAAAATATCTATTGACCCATCAATAAAAGTTATAAGTTGTAAATGATAGAAAAAATCCCCCAAAAATGTATATTTATAGATTTATAATGGAACAAATATTAATACAAAAAAAAAAATAAAAAAAAATAATATAATGGAGTGATTATGCTAAAAAGTTTTTAAGCAGCCATTTAAAATATACATAAAAAGGAAAAATTTTTTTTGCAAATAATAATTTTTTATAATAATAGGTTCACATGAGCTGCATAATTTTTTATGTGGCTGAGCTTAAATAGAGATTAAGGTTATATTGTATTATAACTGTGCTGTGGGTTAAACACAAGAAAAAAGGAAAAATAATATGGATATGAATTGTAGTAACACAATAAATGTTTCACAGGAAAAGTAAGGAGAGTGCTTTATTTACTAATCCAATGGCATCTCATTGATTATTTTACTTAAACCCTTGCATTCAGATAAATTAGATTATTATATTAGGTTGATAAGGTGCATTATAAAAGCTTTGTTTGGTTTGGATTTTCAAAATGCAATAAATCAGTTGACTGGGTTTATTTATATTATTAATAGTGGTAGTGATGTTGAAAGGAGTACAGAGTCCCAAAAAAGTACTATGGCTTTAAATCACTATTCTCAGGTTTTTGTTTCTCAAGTTAAATCTTAGGAAACTTAAGAATTACATTAAGAAAAAAATTTTATGACTTAAAGCCTTGTCGGTGTTGTGCATAAAGAATTTTTTTCACAAAGGTAGTCTGTAAGAATTTGTATATATATATATATATATATATATATATATATATATATATATATATATATATATATATATATATATATATATATATATATATATATATATATATATATATATATATAGTGATTTTGTAGTTTCAAATTCAGAATTCTTTTTGGGATGTTGGATGTTGGTGTGATGACTACCAGCAAACTTAATATGAAACATTAATTTTTAAAAAATAAAAATTATAAAAGTTATAAATTTTTTTATCTGGTGATCAATTTGATTAATTTTTATATAAAAAAATAAATATATCAAATTATGCAATGCTCACTAAAAGCACTTTTTACACAGCCAGACAGCAGTGTTACACCATTGTTTGATCAATTTGTCATTTCTGATGTTGTTGAAGATACCTTTTCCATGCAGTTGTGTAGTACTTCAGAACTCGATCCTTCATCTGAACCAACTGTTGCTGGAACAATGGTAATTTTTTAAAATTTTTTAATTTGTGTTCATAATTTGTTACAATTTGGATTTATAATGTCTTTTAAAAATTAGCTGATTGCTGAAAACTAAAAGATAGACATAAAAATTTTTATCAAGTTTATGATTTATATTTTTGTTTTAAATAAATAAAAAAAATGTAATACTTTAGTTATGGGTACTATGTTTTTAATTTTTTTTGTGCTTTATATTCTACTTTAGAATAAACTCTTTAGGTATAAATATTGTGTTCTAATTCAAAGGCTATAACATTGTTATCATGGTAACCTTGTTATCATAGTAACCTTGAAGTCCATGTTAAAAGTATAAAATAACTATAATTAAAGAGCTTCAAACTTTTTTTTTTCCTTTCAAAGTAACAAATTAACAAAGAGTTATTACACCTCAGAGTTACTTTGTATTATGTGTAATTATATGAAGCATTAAAAAATTCAAAATTTTTTTTTAGTTATTTAAAACATGAACTAGATAAAAGGACATGGATGATGTATTATAATAAATAAGATAGTTGTAATATCCTTTGTTGGTTAATGTTGTAGATTAAGTTTGATAGTTTTAAATCAAATGGTATAAACCAATAGTTTATACTGTTTAACTAAATACTGGTTTAAACCAAACTTAAAATATAATATAATGATATCCTTAGAGCATATATAAATATATATATATATATATATATATATATATATATATATATATATATATATATATATATATATATATATATATATATATATATATGTCATGCACATATATACATCATATCATGTATATATATACATCATATATATATATATATCATGTGTATGTATATACATATATATATAAATATATATTCATTCCTCCCATCTATCGTCATCGCAAACGCTTTTGTTATGAAATTAATAGCGATTGCCTAGTTCGATTTAATTTTTTAATAATTGGGTTGCGGATACATGGAATTAGTTTCCTGATTAATAGTTTTATATAAATGTATGTTTATATACACATATACATGTATATATATATATATATATATATATATATCTGTATATATATATATATATATATATATATATATATATATATATATATATATATATATATATATATATGTGTGTATATATATATATGTGTGTATATATATATATATATATGTGTGTATATATATATATATATATATATATATATATATATATATATATATATATATATATATATATATATATATATATATATATATATATATATATATGTATATACATATATATATAAATAATATATTCATTCTTCCCATCTATGGTTATCGCAAACCCTTTTGTCGTGAAATTAATAGCAATTGCCTAGTTTGATTTAATTTTTTTAATAATTGGGTTGCAGATACTTGGAATTAGTTTCCTGATTAATAGTTTTATATATATATATGTATATATACACATATGTATGTATATATACATGTATATATATATATATATACATATATATATATATATATATATATATATATATATATATATATATATATATATATATATATATATATATATATATATATATATATATATATATATATATTCATTCCTCCCATCTACGGCCATCGCAAACTAATACCAATTGCCTAGTTTGATTTAATTTTTTTAATAGTTGCATTGCGGATACTTGGAATGCTTTGCAAAATGATGTTGTCAATGCTTCTACTATCAACAGTTTTAAAACAAAACAGCAACTATTATAGTTACTAAAATGCACCCATTTGTATTACTGGTTTTTAGAAAATAGGAAGATTGGAGGTTGGCTGCAAAAGCAGGTCCAACTATGTTTACAATACATTTTTGCACATTGTCTAAAAAAGAAAAGGCATCATTGGAAGATCTGTCCCACATATGGCAAGAGTATTCAATACAAGGATGGATTTGAGATTTATAGAGATAAAGAGTAGAATCGGGAGTAAGAAAGTGCAGAGCACGATAAAGGGATGCAACTTTAGCAGATGCTAATTTTACAATGGATTGATTTTTGGGTTTCCAAGAAAGATTTGAAGTAAGAGTTAATCCTAGAAGATGAATGGTAGTTTTATCTGAGTTAAAGTTTGTTAGCCACTGAGAGCCCCATGCTGTAGCAGAAGTGAGATCCTTTTCAAGTTCAAATGCCTCCTCTAAATAATCAGAGAGTGTTAGCTTCTTATCAAGACAGGAATAAATGGTAGTATCATCAGCAAACAATACCACCTTAAAAGTGAGAATTTCTGGAAAATCATTAATGTAAATTTAAAAAAGTATAGGGCTAAGGATAGAAGGAACCTCTAAAGTTACAGGATATGAAGAAGAGTGCTGTCCATCTAGGACAACTTTTACACTATGATTGGTAAGATCAAGAGATGATATTGATGAAAAGTTCTTATCAAACAATTCAGCTTTGTCTGTAGGTGAGGCGACACAATCTGAACCATACAAGAAAGGTGGAATAACAGATTTGCCTTAATTATAGATACTCTTAAAGAATCTCCAGAAGTCATGAGAGCCTAAGTTTTGAGATGAAATACAAAGTTTTGTGACTTGAGAATAGAGGGCTTTGGTGTTAGACAAAACCTTTTTACAATGGTTTCTAGCAATAGTAAGCAGAAGTCTGTTTTCTGGAGAATTGTTGTGCTGATTGATATTGAAGTTAAATAATAGGTTAATAGGTTTTAATTGGAAAGTGCAGAAATGAGAAGAAAACCATGGAGAAGAGTGAGGATTGACTTGGTATTGGCAAGAAGGAAAAAAAGATTCAATGCCAACCTGAATCCAAGAAGTTACATAAAAAGTGGATTTTTCAGCAGGATGAGGAAAGATTTCTACTCTAGGGTCATCATGAAAAAAATCACGGAAAGAGTCCCAGTTAGTTTTAAGGTAGTTGTAAAAGGTATGATGATAGGGGGACTCTGATGATAAAGAAGAATGAGATAACAATCTCAGAGAGATCAAATCGTGCAAAAAGAAACGCCTAAGGGAGAAACTGAGCACTGAATAGGATCAGAAACACGACATAAGTCAAGTAGAGAAGGTTAATGATTTGGATTGTCCAAAAAGCGAATCGGAAAATTGACTATTTGAGAGATTGAGAAAGACAAGAGTTATGGACCTTAACACCTGCAGAGTCACTGATACTAGAGCTAAGCCATTCTGTGTGATGAGCATTAAAGTCACCAACAACAATTATATTGACTGAAGAATAAATAGAAAGGGCATGATCAATTTGATCAGAAATAATATCCAAACAAGTGTAGTCTTGAGATGAAAGAGATCAATATAGAATAAAGAGAAAGGCAAAAAAATGAAGTGGTGTTAAATGAAGGCACATAAAAGAAGAGTCTGTGGATTCAAATTTAGTTTCCTGACAAATAGGAGAACTCTTACAAATCTAAATCCCCTATTGCACTGTTAGAGTCTTTATGAATTAAAGGAAGATAATCGTCAACACTAGATCACAAGATGAGACAGCCAAACTCAAATTAGTATCACAAGGAACAAGTACATTTTCCAGTAAAATCAATTTATTCCTTGGATTATATCATTGAACAAATGACTGCTGTTTCAATAGCATTTGCTAACAATAAAACATCTATCATTGCATTTAGAAGTAGACCTCTGCAGTTGTAGAGCATATTCAGTTATCTTTTTAGTTATTTTCTCTTTTTGTATTTTACTCATATTTGTCTTCTGATTGAAGTTTTATTTAATTTATCATCCCTAATGTTTTTTACTATTGTAGTAAAATTTTTATTAAAATAAAAAAAAAAAATAAAAGTTTTGCATCTGAGTAATATGTAAATGGTATTGAACTAATATGAATAGCCATAATAAAAAAAAAAGAAAAAAGCAGAACAAACAACAAAGCCATAATTGTTATTACTACATCAAATAAAAGTTGTACAAAGCTGCAGCAGAGGAGCTGTTTAAAATTTTTACTTCTTTAATCACAGTGCTGAACTAGTTAATGAGAATAGTTCTTTGAGTTGCATTTTTTATTTATTTATTTGAATTTCATGCTATACATTGTTCTTATATCCGAAGACATAGACATAGCTTAACATAGGAACAGCCACAAATAGTCATAAAGACTAATTCAAAGAAGTGTCTGTTGCTGATCAACATTTTCGCATACCAAAATAAAAAGGGAATTGTCATATTATTGTCGTATTGCACTACAGTCCAGGTCTTAACATTTTGTTTGACGCTCTAATCAACTGAGTTATCCAGCCACAAAAAATTGTTTGTAAAAAAAGTCATGTTAGAGTTATTAAGTCAAATGGATTCAAAAATTTCAAAACCAAAATACATAAAGTTATAAAGTCATCATATAAATTTTATATAAAATTAATCACATGATGAAAACAAATTTTTAAGTTTATACTTGCAAATATTAGAACTTTATATACAAACAAAAATATGGTTCAGTTAGTCTTGAACTAATTTCGTTTTATTTAATGACTGTTCACTGAAAAAAGACTGTTCACTGAAAGCAAAAAAAAGTTTAATGGCATTATAAATCTGAACCCAAAATATTCACGTCCATCATTCATAATTTGCTATTTTTTTATTATTTCAATTTTTATTTTTTAGGTTACTGATATATAGGTAATAGTTATAATAGACATTTTTATCAAATGTAATGTTATATTCTCCAGGACTTATTAATAATCATGTGACTTTTTGGATCAAATTAAACTAAAATTTTTTTAAATCTTCTTAAGTCCATAAGAGCATGGAGAGGTGTAGGGAATGTGGTTTTATTTAAAATATTTTATTTTTAAACAATCATGTTAAAATATTTTGTCATATGTTAAATTTCTCAAATTAATCTGTTAAAGTTATAATCGAGTTATTTTTCTTTTGTTTTTTAAAAAAATTTGAGTTTGGTAATTATTATTATTTTACTTTGTTTTTTTATTTACTGTTTAGTTCAAAATATTATATTTTAGGTTTTTGGAGAAATGGATGATGATTTATACAAAGGTGATATGTTGTATACCCCAATTGTGAAAAAATGGTATTACGAAGTTGTTATCACTGACATGTCTGTCAATGGTATAAGTTTAGGAGTACATTGTAAGAAATATAATTATGACAAAACAATAGTTGACAGTGGCACTACTAATCTCAGAGTCCCTGAAGAAATATTTAATCTTATATTGACTCAGTTAAAGAAATATGATAAGGTAAGTACATTCTCTCTAATATAGTTTTAGCATTAGATATATATAGAGGGAGTGTCATAGTTGTTATTATTGCTGTTTTTGTTTTGTTGATTTTAATATTATTACTGTTATTATAATTATAAATTAATATTCATATACAATAAGCATATATTTTGCAAGTATAGTTTTTCAAATGTGTCCTGCAATAATTAAAAAGAAAAAAAAAAAATTTATTTCTTATATATTCCCCCCAATTATTATTGCTGCTATTAAAAATGTTTGTTTTATTTTGATTCTTTTAATTGATTGATTTTATGTTCTCAATTGGTTAAATGGTTCACTAGAGTTTAGTTGTTTATATTAATATTAATTAAAAAATATTTTAAATATTATTAAAGAAATAAAATGGTGCATTCAACTAAAATATTGTCAATAAAATCAAATTAAGCATTTAAATAGAACAAAATAAATTAAATTATTAAATTAAATGAATATTATTAACAAATTAGTCAGGTCAGGTTATCCTGCTACTGGTAACATATTACCCAGTACAACCTGCTTTATGTCCTGCTGCCTTGTAGGATATGCTTTTTTAGGCAAAGACTAAGAGATGCCAACTTTGACTTAAAACACCCCCTACCTTGGAGCTCTTAGTTGAGTAAAGGCTATAGATGGTGTCTTGATAAAAATACTCATCCTAGGCAGATGTTAAAAGCAACTCATCCTAGGCAGATGATTAACGCATCCATGTAGAAGGTCTCCTAGGCAAAAACTTATTGGGTAAACAGATTCTATCTGTTAACCCTTGTTAAGTAAAGATGTTTAAAAAAAAAAAATTGAAATAAAAAAATACTTTTTAAACATCAAATACAGCATTGTAACTAATTTTGCTTTTATGTGATATTTCGGTTTAATTTGTATAGACTGTCATCAGGAATAAAATGCCAGATTTTAATTAGTTGAAAAGCAAATTTCTTATTTTATTAAATTAACAAGACTCCAATATTCAGTACACCTCAGAGGTTGAAAATGAACAGAGAAAATAAAAATTTTAAGATATAAAAATAATTAACACAAATAATAACCATTATGATTTCAAAGTCCACTGTAAAGAAGCAATAACAAACATACTAATAAAACTCAAATATCAACCCTGCAATTATTACTGGAGTTTTTAAAGGTTATCACGAGCCACCAAAATCTGCTCCGAAAAATACACTAACAATAAGAAACAGTTTATAAAAGATATACACTAAAAACATATAATGTCAAAGTTATTTTTACAACACCACCTTATTTTAAGTAAATTATCTGCAACAATAAATCTAGGTTAATACCAAACAGCATTCCTGGGGTGTACAAGCATACGTGTTCGTGTAGGGGAATTAATATTGGGGAAACAAAAAGAAAATTTTTACAAAGAAGCATAGAACACCAAACTAGCAGCATGAATGGCGATTGATGTGCTTCTGGAGCGACTGAACATTGCAAAGAATGCCATAGGATATTAGACTGGCTGCACCCAAAAACGTTATCTATAAAATCATGAAAGAAAAAAACATTTTTAGTTGCTTTCGAAAAGATTCTCGTTCAGCTTATTATAATTAATTGTTTTAAATAATAAAGTTTATATTTTATAGAACGTTTATGCCTACGCATAAAACCACAAAAACAAATTATTATGCTCAATTAATGAAATTCAGATTTGTTCAATAACTTCAAAAATGTTTTTAAATTGTGGTAGAGTCCTTGTAGCATAATTATTCCAGCAGCATGTCAAAATGGCACTTTTGTGGTGAAAAAAGAAAACTTTGAAATGTAGTTCGTAAACTTTAAAAACTGCAATCGAATTTGAATACTCTCTTAAAGTTCACTGGAAAAGTTTTAAACAGCTAATTGAGCTATCAAGAAGTTATCGCAATCCAAAATCAAGCAAAAATAAGAATTGTTTTTTTTTAAATCTTTAAATAATTAATAAAGTAATAAATAGTTTCAAATAAATAATAAAATAATAGGTATAGTAGTTATAAATATCTCTATTATTAAAAATATATCTTATTATTAAAAATATATAGGTAATTGCTTGAAATTAATTATGCGCAAACATCTCAGAAGGTTAATTAATTTTTTATTAAACAATTTAGTTTAGAGGTTAAACAAATACTTTTGAACAGGGATAATGGGGTAAAAGTTGCTATAAATAGTTGAAGACCACTATTTAAGAAAATCATAAAAAAACAAAACAATTTTTATTGATGTCATCTTTTTTGTAAAGACTTCTTTATGGTTTTTAATAATTTATTTTGTAACAGTTTTTAAATTAGAATTTTACGTCTGATGATGGTCTATACAAATTAGACAAATATATCACATTAAAAAAAAAGATTCTGTTTTTGATGTTTTTTAACTTTACGTACAACAAGAAATGTCGCAAAAACAATTTTTTAAATTATCATTTTTAATAATGTCAATAATTAAATGATTAATAAAAATATTATTTTTTTCTTTAATTTAATTTTCTTTTGAAATTTCATTTTAACTTTGCGTTAGTTTTAAAGTTAATTTTCAAAGCTAATAGTATTTTACTATATAGAATATTTATAACAACAAATCACATGACAAATACAACAATGGATATATTGATAAAACTAAATCTTTAAATATCGCAAAATTGGCACTATCTTTAATAAGTTATAGAAAGTATATAAAAAACATAGTGTAAATGAAGTTTTTCTAACAAGAAGTTTAGTACAGTTTTATTTTTATCTTTAGATGTGATATTTAGATTTATTAAGTTTTTTTTAATTTTTAAAACTTTGATGAAAATTGTATAAAAAGTAGATTTTTATAATAAGATTAAATTTAATTTTAAAAAAGCCAAAAAAAATTTTAAATCTGGCTTTAAGCATAGGTACCACTTCTGAAGTAAACACCACCTGCAAAACTACTTTGGCCCAATCTGCAAAACCACTCTTGTACTATCTACAAGCTTTTTTTTTATTGTTTTTAAGTTTTGTACTTTTATGTATGAATTTTTTATATTCCTTTTTTTCCATGTAGCTTGGAGTTCCTGATGAATTCTGGATTGGGCGACAAATGATGTGTTGGAATTATGATAAAACACCATGGGAAGAATTTCCTCATATGTCAATATCTTTGTTATCATCACTAAGCAGCTCGAAGGAGTTTGTATTGAAAATTCCTCCACAGGTATTAATAATATTTCTTTACTTTTAAAGTGTAATTTATTAAATAGATTTAGTGTTGCATAATTTATCGATGGTCCCTTAACAAAGTTTACAATTTTATTCTTAATTGGGAAATTATTATTGAATGAAAATTTTTTTTTTAACACTAGTTAAAAACACTAGTTTGTTTTTCTATTTATACTATTATTATAAATTATTAGCATATAAAAATAAAATAATTTTTTCATACAAAATTATTATACAATATCATACAATATATATTTTCATGTCTATATTGCATTCAATAGTTTCAATATTGCATTCGATAATTTCATTGTTGCATTCAATAATTTTGTTATTGCATTCAATAATTTCATTTGTTCAAATGTTCATGTTCTTATACTGCACATGAAATAAGTTACAAGAATTTTGAGCCTAGTTTTTACTCTTTTTTTAAACTAATGATTATTTATTCGACAATAAATTCTGACATTTAATTTTTCAAATTTTTTTCAATATTCTGGCCTGATATTTTATTTTTCAAATTTTCACTACTTTTATACTTGTGAAAAATATTTTTTGATTAAAATTAAATAATAGTTCATTTAATAAATCACAAATTACATAAAGTTAAGAAAAAAAATTTCAAGTTTTTAGAAACTTGTAACTTTTTAAAAAAAATTTGCTTAACAGAAACTTGGTTCAGTTTCCATGACATAAATTCTTATACTAATTTTAAACTGCTGGGTACTTAATCTAATTTTTTATAACTAGTTTTTTTTTAAAGTTTTTGGTTATTTAAAACATTTTTTTTAAGGTTAAATTTAAAGTTAATTAAAATTTAAAACACATTTTTTTTTTATACATTATTATAGAATAGTAAAACAATGTTTTTCTAATGTTAATTATGTTAATTATGTTAATTATAACCCTAAAGCTAAAAGAATTAAGTTGCCATGAATTCCCAAGGATTTACAAAAGTCTTTAAAAAACCAAACAAAAGTTATACATGAAATACTTTAAATGCAAAACAATCGTAACAAAAGTTGTGCTAAACATTTTGAACACCTCAACAACAAATAAAATACTAAAGCCTAGTTAAGAACATAAGTCTACTCAGGTAAACATGTAACCTATGTAACCACGTTTTCCTTTTAATTCTTACCTGAACACTTTTTAACTATTTCTCGAATAGTTATAAAAGTTCAATTATTAAACCATGTTTTCCTTTTAATTTTTACCTGAACACTTTTTACTATCTCTTGAAGAGTTAACTTTTCAAGAGAGTTTTTTATTTTTATACAATTATATATTAAAATGAATAAAAAATAAAAAAATCTCGTTTAAAAACAAATGAATATTATGATTTTCATGACCAATCTGATTGCTAAGACTTAACAAAGTTGATATACAAGAAACAGACAACAAAGAATTTTTTAATGCACACCAAGTAGGAAGAAGTTATCATATGAAAGTACTATGAGAGAATGAAACTTCCTAATAATAGATTTCCTAAAGAAGCCCTAATAATGGATTTTCTAAAAAAGCTCTAATAATAGACTTCCTAAACAAGTCCTAATAATGGATTTCCTAAAAAAGCTCTAATAATAGATTTCCTAAAGAAGTTCAAAATAAGTATAAAAAGAACAATTATGAATTTTTATTTATTTTAAATATTGGTATAAATGTCGTAATAAAAACAACAGCAACAAAAAATGAATAAACTTTTAACGAACAAACTTTTAAAAAAAGTTGTTTAACTTAAAAACTAAAAGTTAAAAATTGTCTTATAAAAAGCGCTGTAATCTGCTTAATTTTTTTAAAGTAAAAACTGCTAAAAATAGCAATTAAAATTAACTTTCTGTTTAGCTGTATCTTCGTGAAACAATTGAGAGGGGACCACTTCCTGGGCAGCATTGCTATAAGTTTGCAATAACTAAAGCAGAAAAGGGAACTGTAATAGGAGCAGTAGTAATGGAAGGTTTTTATGTGGTTTTTGACCGGGAAAATATTCGTGTAGGTTTTGCCGCAACTACTTGTGGGGGTAAATTATTGTTTATTATTTTTTTTATAGTTTTTAGTTTATAGTTTTTCTAAACTCAATGCACATAAAACCTAAAATTGAATTTAAAAAAGTTAATATATTAAATAAAAAAAGTTGTTCAACTGGTATCATTAGTTATCAATTTGCTCTTACATAAAGTTTATTTTTATCTAGCCGAAGGGCGGCTTAATCCGCGATCAGAGGTTTCCGGACCATTTATTAGAGGTAGGTTTTTTGTGCCTATTATGTGATGTGAGGTAAACATATTTTTTGTTAAGTAAAACGGTTACTTTTAAGTAAATTTTTTTGCTATTTTTAGCTGATCCAACTGATTGTGAATATATTGAGTCAGAACTTGCTGACACAGCTCTTTTAACAGTAGCTTATGTAATGGCCGGTGTTTGCGGATTGTGCTTACTTCCGGTTTTTGTATTGCTTGGTCAAGCTTCTTGCAAAAAAAGTGTTGAGAAAGCTGGTGTCCCAAGAGATTATTGATATCTTTATACTCTTCATAAATTAATTGTTCTGTAATTATGAGTCTATATAAATAATTTTTTAATTATTAATAAGCTTTTATATATGTTTAAAACTGTTAATAAAAAAATGTTAATAAAATTAACTTCTAATTTTTTTGATGTAAATTAAATACTTAAATAATAAACTTTTGAAAAACGACATGTATTTTTAAAATATAAATTTTGATTTTTTTAAAAAATAAATAGTAAAGTTTTATTCATTTTTTTGTGTGAAAACAAAACAAATGGAGAAGAGGGGGGGGGGGTGTCGAATAGCCTAGGGCAGTCTGTTAAAATAAGAAGTTTAAATTATATATTGAATTTTTTTTTATCGTATAAATAAAGTTAGTGATTATGTATTTTTACATATTTATATTTTATATTTTATTTTATATTACACATTATATATATATATATATATATATATATATATATATATATATATATATATATATATATATATATATATAGCCTAACTTAACATATCTAAACATTCTAAACACCTAATAAGACCGTCTGTACAGAAAGTGCAGTTCAATCGAAACAATTTTCTTGTAAAACGAAGATATTTTGAACATCGGCTTCCTAAACAGTGTGGGCAGTTAATATAATATAGCCCTGCGCAGTTTTTGCATGATTGCCGATTGTATTCAACTTTATCAATGTAACGAATTAAATTATAAATTTGACCAGTTTCAAGTAAAGCTTCAATTCGGTCTCGACCACCAACGTATTCACCTTTTATGACTACTTGAGGAGGAGTTAGACCTTTAAACTGTTTTTCAAAAATTTTCCGATTTTCTTGGCAACAAATATCCCGTTCTTCGGTTTTTACCATTAAAATTCTAAATACTTGTCTAACATAGAGACATTCTGATTTAGTTTTTCTAATAACTCCTAAGCTTGTAGTGTAAATAATGACCTTTTTATATTCTGGACTTAAACCAATGTCACAAGTATGGAGAAAATTGCTATTTGTTTTGTTGTTGTTAAATTGCTTTACTATCATTGCTACTTTTGATTGTAAACCACGAACAGTTCCGAAGTCGCTTCTTATTTCACTTAATGTGCAGGCTAAGCAACTCTCTTCTGGTTTGTTGTTATTGGTTTCCTCATTTTCTAATTCGTGACCCAATAAATCTGCTTTATAATAATAAAAATTAAACTCACCCAATTCAGTATCGTTACAATTATTATAATTATTATCAGAAATGTCAGAAGTTTTGAAAGTATCGTTTATGTTATCGTCATATTGATTCAATTTGTTTATTTTACTAGTTGAATTATTTTCAATTTCATAATCTTGCATAATGTCACCATCTTCGTAAAGGTTTTGAATAGTTTGGTCATTACAATACCTTGGCTGAACTGTCCTCGTGATATTATGTTCATTTCTTTCAATTTCATTAAACTGATTGTCTAAAGATTCGTAAGACATTTTTTTTTGTTGAAATTAAATCATTAATAAAGATAATACATGTTTCGATTTTATTAATGTGTTTTATTTGTGATGCTAAAATCTATTTTTTGTGTAACTGGAACTTTTATTTAAAAAATCTCGTATGCAATTAATCTTTCCGTTTTGTAAATCTAATGTCCTTAAAGATTTTTATTTTGCACACAAAAAAAAACAACTTGCAACGATACTCATCCGTAAGTATAATAAGGCAAATGAATATGAATGAATAAAAATATATTGATGAACATAAATTTATGAATGAACATAGAATAGTTGTGAATAGGTTTAAATAATATATAAACATCAAGAAAAAAATTTAAAAAATCTTTATAGAAGGTTATAAAACGTTTAAAACAAAAGTTATAAAGTAGTTCTAATCGATTTTATTAACGCGTGTTGTAAGAACATGTAATCTTATATATATATATATATATATATATATATATATATATATATATATATATATATATAATATATATATATATATATATATATATATATATATATATATATATAATTGACTAACATTGACCCTTTCAATTCCTGTGACCCCCTCTTCAGGTCATAATATTTGTTATGACCTGAAGAGGGGATCACAGGAATTGAAAGGGTTAATCTTAGTCAGTCAAAACAAAATTCTTAAGTACTTTTTAAAAATAAAAATATAAACTTGCCCAAAAAATATAATTTATTATTTTACTTTTATTTTTTACATTACTTACGCTTAAATAATTTTGAATATGTAAAAAATTTTTTTTTAGATAATTATAGTTTTATATAGATTTATAAATATTCTTTTTAATTATATATATTTGAAAATCTATTAATATTATTAGAAAACCTCGGAATTAAAGTCAGCACTCTAATGCCGAGGTGAAATAGTATGACTGGCTATTCGAGTCAGACGTAGCATACGGTAATGCGAAATCGAGATTTTTATAGTAGTGATTTTGCAATTTTGTGATAAGTTATTAGTTTTTATCTTAGTAATTAACATAAAAAATTAATAATAAAAATCAACAAAAAGAGTTTGCACATCAGTATAGCGTATTCATGAGAATTTTAAGTAAATAGAAGAACATTCTCTTCAAAGTGAGCTTTCATCAATAATTAAAACTCAAATAGGCATTGAATGAATTCACGGCTCTTTTTTTTTCTCCTGTTTTTTAAAAGTACAACGTAGATAACAAAGGTTTAAAAAAAGAAAAAAAAAACTTTTCAACTAAGTGATATAAAAAGCTTGATGTCTAGACATCAATAAAAACATCTTAGTTACACCCCTTAGATCCACCCCTAATCATAACTTAATCTTATTTTTTACTATCTTCTATTATGGTTATACAAAACTGCGTTTTTTCAAGTTTATTAAACGCTATTTATTAAACGTTTTTAATATTTGTCTTAAGTTATCCTTTTTTAAAATAGTTAAAGTAGTCTAAAAAGACCTAATGATCTTTTGCAGAACACTGCGAAACTGCATTTAAACAGGAAGTTTTCACCACCATTTTTTACTTATGCTACTTGTATGGCCAGAGCTGGTATTGAATCTCAAGCTTCTTGGTTCTAAACCAGAGAAGTTTAACGACTGCGCCACGGCTTCTTTGAAGTAGCTTGGTTGTTTGATTTTTTTGGTTTCTACCGTCAGTGATGTCGTAGTTTTGACTATTGAACATTTTTGATAAATTTGAATAACCAAAAATTGGATGGAGATAAGTACAGCTTGTATGACTTGTAAGGCTTGTATTGTTACAATAATTTGCTACTTAACCTAATGGATTAATGGACATGGGATTAAGCATTATTATAAAAATTTTGAATAAGTGTTTCAGGTCTTTGCATACTTATTTTGAAACCAGTTATAGTGAGCCCATTTTAATGCAACCCAAATGTTGACATTTGTAGTTGTTCACACATCAAACTTTAATCTGTTTTTATTGTTCTCTAAAGGCAGGCTATAAAAAGTAGTATTTTGAATATTTCTATAAAAGGCTATAAAAGAAGTTTCAAAGTGCTTTTAAAAGTTGATCATCCGATCCAATAGCATAGATGTTAATCATCCGATACGGATAACAAAATAATAAAAACCGCAAATTATTTTGCATAATTAAATCAACTCTACAAAAAAAACTCATTGGTCACCTGCTTTGAATTATCTATTGGGGAGACAATACATGACAATACATGACCAAATTATGATAATGTGGAGGAGTTTCATTTAGTTAATACTGAATCTTCATTGCATTGTTTTTTTGTTTATGTATTATGTATATGTTGTTTATCAAAATTGTGTGAGTACCATTTTTTATGTTTAAAAATAATACTTTAAATAGTCTTAATACAAAAAAAGGCTCAAAAATGCGATCTATTGGCAAAGAATTAAATAAAATTTAAAGTTAATTTTCTAATTATTATCTTGAAATCTATTCGCAATCATTAGTTATTTAAACTCCGATTACCACAATTGTGCTTAACAACGTACCTTAACACGTCAAATATATGACATTTTATATTCTCAGAAAAATCTTCTACATTAATACATTCAATTTTTAAGGAAAAAAGTTATTTTGAAGTTAAAAGTTAGTTCTTTAAGGACTCACGATACATTGAAGCTCTGTATTACAACAGATTAAAGCTATGTCTGGATCATTGAGAGCAATATAAGGTATTTTTTTTGCTCTGGAACTATATAAAGGATTTATTAACTACCTTATGTAGTTTTTGATATAAATCAATAAATGCATTAGTTATAAACTTTCTAATAACATTGAAAAATCTTTGACAAAAAATAAAAGAAGCACTTTATTAATTTTTTACAGCACTGACTAAATCGACTAAATAAAAATACCTTGTTGGAAAAATTAGTTTCAATTTTAAGGCAGGTACTTGCTGTGGTATGATCAAACTGGATCCAAAAAAGATGAAAATTTGACTTAATGCTCCAAATTAAGTTATTGTTAATAACCAAGTTTAGGTTATGAGAAGGGCTTTGTATGGCACAGGTTCAGTAGTTATCAAATTTGAAACAGTATTTAAAATACTTCTTTTTTTTCTTTTCTTTTTTTTTTTTACAACATTAGCGATATCATAGTCTTAGCGTTCTTTTTTTTCTTTTTCATCTTCTTCAAATCTGAAGAATGAAATTTTTTTTTTACATCTTCTTTAAATCTGAGCCTTAATTTAAGGCTTAAATTTAAATACAATAATAACATATTATTTTTAAATTACAATGTTTATATTAATAATAATTTATTATAATAGTTTGACGAATCAGATCGCTCTACAGAATTTTTGAAAATAAAGATAACAGATGCCACTTTGCAGCAGGCTGGAAAAAAAGATAAGCACTTGTTAAATAGTTTTGAAAGTATTGACGATAGCTCCGGAGAACACTTCTGCAAGACTACAACAGGTATGTTGTCCGGGTCACAAACTGTAGAAAAGTCTAAGCAGGAAACCACTTTAGATACAAAAGCTAGAGTGATTCGAATTTCAAGCAATAGATCAACCTTTTTGACGGTTAAATCAGGTAGAAAGCAACTAGTGGAACCAAGAAGTGATATTGATGAAAAGTTTTTATCGAACAGTTAAGCTTTGTCTCTAGGTGGGGTGACAAAAACTGAACCATACAAGAGAGGGGAAATAACAGGTTTATTGTTGATACTATTAAAGATTCTCCAAAAGTCAAGAGAGCCTAATTTTTGTGATGAAATACGAGATTTCATGACCTGAGAATAGCGGGCTTCGGCGTTTGACAAAATCTTTTTACAATGGTTTCCTGCAGTAATAAACAGACGTCAGTTTTCTGGAAAACTTTTTGATGATAGATATGGAAGTAACGGTTTTGATCGGAAATTGCAGCAGCACAATGTGAGGAAAGCCATGGAGAAGAATGAGGCTTGACTTGGAATCGTCGGGAGGGAATAAAAGATTCAATTTCAGTCTGAACCCAAGAAATTATGTAAGAAACACATTTGTCAGCATGAAGTCGAAAAATTTCTACCCAAGGGCCATCACGAAGAAAATCATGGAAAGAGTTCCAGTCAGCTTTAAGGTAGTTGTAAGAGGTACAATGATAGGGGGATTCAGATGATGAAGAAGAATAAGATAATAGTTTTAGAGAAATCAAACCGTGATCAAAAGCACCTAAGGGTGAATGAGGAGAAACTGAGCACTAACTAGGATCAGAAACAAGACATAAGTCAAGTAGAGACGGTAAATGATTGGGGTTGTCAGGAAAGCGAGTTGGAAAGTTAACTATTTGAGTTAGGAATTGAGAAAGGCAAAAATTGTGGGTTTTAACGCCAGCAGAGTTACTGACAGTAGAGCCAAGCCATTCAGTGTGATGAGCATTAAAGTCACTGACAACAACAATATTGGCTGATTAATAAAGAGAGAGGGCTTGGTCAATTTGATCAGAACTAACATCAAAAATAGTGCGCAATATGACACTGTTAATATTTTGATATTTTTCAGCTGTTGATGGAATCAGCCTCTCTGAGAGCTACCAGAGAGTTCGGAAAACCTAACTACCGGCCGACCTCAGAACCATAAAACCAAGTTTTAAAGCTGTACCCTCATTTAGTGATAATAGAATGAGTTGTCTATTCATAAAAACAAAGAGACAAACAAAAATCATGAATTGAGTCAAGAAGATCCAGCCTTTAAATCCTAAACTGGAAACAATTTATTAAAAATACATTTGCGCCAGCCTAATAGATGAAGAAGAGGTGCGTGGCTGTCAAAAGATAGAATTAGATTAGATCCAATTTATAGAATATTAAATTTTTATTAATAGAAGTTGAAAAGAGACTAAGAGAGAGACTATAAGAATTTTTAAAATATCAAAATACCTGCGAGATAATAATGCGAGATTTTTTGAACTAGTTTCCTCCAATTGTCTTTGTACCACCTTTCCAGAATAACAACAAAGACATGTTGTTCTTATGCGGGTCAGAAGGCGATCCAAAAAGAGCAGAAAAGGGCGACTGCCGATTCACTCCATAAAAACTAGTCTCTTTTCGGTTTCTCTTCATTTCCAACACTTTTCTCTCCAATACTTCGGTTTCTCTCCAACTCTTTGGTAAATACTGATGTTGGAAAGATGTGGTTTTTTGAATCCCTTGGAAGGTCTGCATGACAAAACGATGGTATCTTTATCTTTTTATGATAAAGCAGACCAAAACGAACCAGTATCTAACAACAA